AAGAAGAAGAAGAAGAAGAAGAAGAAGAAGAAGAAGAAGAAGAAGAAGAAGAAAAAGAAGAATTATTACTATTATTATTATAGTGATAATCATCATTATCATCATTATCATCATCATCGTCATCATCATCGTCATCATCATTATCATCATCATTGTTTACATCCGTGAGGAGCAATTTCTGCTCAACGACAAGTTTTATACGCCTTACAAACTATAATAATGTTATTATTTCCCGAGCCGACCTAATAAGTTTCTGACACAATCTGAACTTCCTGGGAAGTATACAGGGCAAATGATCAAAGGAAGATTACTTTTGTATGTAACGATTAAGAATCTGTTTTTAATTTTTTGGTAAGTGCTTTAAGGAGCTTGCAGCTGCACAAGGTCATATGAGAGCGCGGAACACATTAACAGTTGGAAGGAAATTTTGAATTTTACCCCAGTGGCAGCTGAAGCCTATTCTTGTCGATGTTAGACTACAAAAAGATCATTATTGTACGCAACTTGCACACAGGATCTTCGAGACTTTTCGCCCTAATACGATAAGTTAAGGTTGTTCGATCTTACCTACCACAAGATTACAGGTGTGGCTGAAAGACAGCAGTAAGAAGGAGCCAAGGAATAACAGCAGAAAGGCTGCAGAAAGAGTCAGGAGCCCAGAGGAGAGGGCATAGGAAGTAAGCTGGTGTGGGAAGAAGGTGGAGATGAAAGCAGACCTCAGAACATTGTTAGAGCTGAAAGGGGAAACATTTTAGAGAAGAAAAATGTCCATCGCTGTCAGAATTCGAACTCAAGACCTTTTGTCTTGGAGCCGTACACGGTAACCTCTCGACCACGAGAGCTCCCCGAGAATCTCTGATATTCACTCAGTCATGTATGAGACGGACAATAGAAAGAATAATCTGCTTCTTTAATCAAAAGTCTGGGTCAGGATGGTTCATCGTAACGCAAACCTTACTGACGGCCACATCACTTGTGAGTGTACAGCCACTTAGCTTGTAAAAACACTTTAAATTCGCCCCTCTTAAGTGTCGAATAAACATAACACCATGATGTTTTCCCCAGATATCAGCCTTTCGTCATTTATAATCAGGAGTAAAATTAGACGTACTTTTACAAATTTTTGTTCCGTTTGAGTTGAGCTTTTGTTTTAATTTACATTTTTCACTCTTCCTCGGGACCCATCGCTTTAGTGTGGTTGGAGTCCTATAGTCGTAGTTTCTACAAATCCTACACAAATCACGTTAGATATTTACAATACCAGTGATCAGACTTAAGTATCCTAACAGTTAATGTTTTAATGTGATATAAAAAAAATATGTCTATCAATATTCATATTATATAATCTTACAATCTATAAATATTTATATCTATATTTTTATCTATCTGTATGTCTATCGCGTCTATCTCTATTATTTCCTATCTGTCTGTCTTTCAATCTATACTTACTTTTATTTCTGTTCAAAAATGTGTGACGTCAATTCATAATAATTATTATATTCCTTGCTGGATTATCTTTTTGTTTAGCACGTCAAAGTGACAATGTATATGTATGCCTATGTGTGTATTTGTAAGGGAGGGTGGGTGGATGGATGTGTGTGTAAGTGTGTGTATGTGGGTGTGCCTGTGTATTTATATGTATGAATCTGCGTGTGTGTGTTTGTGTGCGTGTGTGTGTATGTGTGTGTGTGTG